TATTTTTGTATGTGAAACCATGCTGAAAAGAAATACTATAAATTCCCTCCCAAAATTTTAATTTGGTGTAAAGTTATTAAGAATGGAACCGCGAAATTTTCTACTAGTAAAGAAAATAACATGGAAATTTGATTCTTGGAGATACGAACCCTTTTAACACACTGGCGGGAAAAATTAAAGGAATAGCTATAAAAAGGGGCTTTATGTTGATTTCTTTAAATGAATTCCAGTGAAAGATGGTTGTTAGCTGAAGGTACACGTTACTACATAGGGGGAAAAAAAATGTTCTCCCGTTCTTTCGACACTTGTGGAGAGAAGTGCAAGGAGGTGCTTCATATTCTAATTTAAAGGATTGCACGAGTAGGTGAATAAAGTTTTCGCGTGTGAAAAGTCGAAAATTTCGTTGAAAAGACATTTGATTGAGTGGGAGAAATGGCGTGCAGTTGGGACAATGAAAGCAGGACAGAAACTGACGCAGGTCTGTAAAGACCTAAAAGTAGCGAAAAGCATCACATCAAGAAACCAGAAACGGTTTAAAGATACTCATGATGCATATGGACAGCCAGATCAAGGTCGAAAACGTGCCACAACAGACTCTCAGGACTATTATTTAGCAACAATTGTTAAAAGAAATTGACAACTGAAGTCAGCGCAGACTGTAAGGCTTCACCTACAGTAACTCGACTATCCATATATACTGTGAGTGACATTCTGCATAAAACAAGGCTGTATAATAAAAACATAGTTTTTTTTCCTTCTACTAACTCGGATTGTGAATTCCATCCAGTTGCAGTGGCACAGAGATGGTCTTGACTGGAGTACTGCGGCTTTGAGCCAAGTTCTCTTTACTGATGAGGCTCATTTATGCTTGGAGAGTAATTCCAGAATTGTTATAATATGGAGAGAGCTTAACACTCGCAATAAGCCTAAAAACATCTGTGAAAGACGCTGGTACAGAGGTGGTGAAATCATGGAATGTTTAGGTAACATTCTGAATGACAGCAGTGACCTACACGATTTTGACCAGTACAACTATGAACGCTGAATTATGCAGACGTGAGGTTCTTATGTCAGATTGTTTAGGGGTGCAATCGGTAATAACTTTCTTCTAATTGGCGGTAATGCTCATACCCATCGCACTGTACTAGTGACCGATTATCTTGAGGGCGAAGGAATCTCGTGAATAAATAGGCACGCATATTTTTCGGATTTAAATCCAATAGAATAAATGTAGGACACACTATACGCCGAATTGCACCACTGCAACCCCCACCAAGCACTTTCTTGGAAATTCCACAGAGTTTCTTGGATAATCTAATACACAGCATGGGAAAACGCTTTAAATCTTGCATTTCTCGCAGGGGTGACCACGCAACTTGTTAATTTTTTCTGTGAATCTCAAAAAAGTAATAATACGTTTCCCTACACCACTTTATATCACACTTCCTTAGTTCTTATTCAAACTTATATTATGCAAATAGGCAATTCTGTATTTTGAAATTATGTCGGGCATGACAAAATAAAGGTCTTGTGCAAGTTCCTTGTCCTTAGCTGTAAATTCATTCAAGCTACATGAGTTTTTATAGCCGTTCTTTTAATTTTTATACGAATGTGGTTTAAGAAGTGGAAAAATGTAATTCGAACAGTACAAGATGATTATAAATTATTCATCGAGTTTAAAAACACTATGTTTAAAAAAATAGTACACATAAAATAATGCGTGACACACGAAACTGAACTCTAAATATCCAAGTTTAGACCTCCGTTTTAAAATTCGCATGAGTATCACAGTGAAGAACTCCCATATCGCTGAGCTGCGCGATGCACTAACGATGATTTAATACTTTTCGCGTGGATTCCGCGATCTCTAGAACACACGGATTTCTTTCTTTAGGCGTGTATTTAAGATTCTATTTACATGCCCTCGCTTTCAGAGAACTTCAGCTCAAGGATCGTATTGCCAATACATATTTATGGGCATTAACAGCACAAGTGTGGACCGAATTCGAATACTGCATAGACGTGTGTCTGACCGGAGGAAAACACTTGATGGTAATATGAATAAAAACCTAATTACTAAACGTTTGTTTCCCTGAATCATACTTCGAAAATACTGTTCATAATAGTAAAAAAAAAAAAAAAAAAAAATCTTTCTAACAACTTTTATTAGCAGCAAAAGGTAGAAAACCTAGCTTCTGAGGAAGAGCAAACTATGAAGAATATATACGTAAACACACATATTTAAATGACAAAAGGGCCACCTTTTGCCGTGTAGAAGTTTCCCGTGGAAAAAAGTCCTTCATGAATGTATCCTTTCTCCTGGATGGGTAATCCTTGAGTGCTTTTCCGTAATCAAATAATCTAATTCAAATACCAAAAGCCGTGAAATTCCTATTTAGTATTCTGTTTGGCATCCTTTAAAATACGGCGACTGTTGTGGCGTGTTCAGCGAAATTTTTCTAGAGGAATGCTGAATTATGTCTTCTGAATACCTGCCCAAAATAAATTCGTTCTTGTAGGTGCTATATCTTGTGCAAGAATAAACTCTGCATGATATCACGTAAGTGTTCCACTGCATTCCTATCTGATAAATGTGGTTACTGACAAATAGTCCGAAATGCTTCTGGAACCAGTCGCGAACAAGTCTTATCCGGTTACTCGATGCATAGTCATCCTGGAACATATCATCCTCTTTGTATATGAAGTTCATGAAGGGCTGCAAATGGTCATTAAGCAGCTGCTGAACATAGTGGTTCCATTTAGTAAGTATCTGTAGTAAGTTCAGAAGTCCTAAATCGTCAATATGCCATGAAAACTTTGCATCATCATAGAGTCACCTCAAACTTGAAGGGTGTCTTGTTGACACAGCTGTGCCCTTGACCTTACAGAGTGTACTCCACACCCGAATTCTACTGTCATCTCATAAATGATACCGCTGCTATGTTGATCAAGTTGTCCGTCCTAGTCTCCTCTGGAGTCTAGTTAATTCATTCTAAACCCGTGTGAGACGTTGGGCCAAATGATAGGTTTAACAAAGACACTTTTATTAGATCGTTCAGACAAGAGGAATCAGTGGTAAATTTTAATAAGTGTGCAGTGCTAGTTTCGACGGTTGAACTACAAAATGTGCGTCTTCAGTTGCAGGAGTGAAAATTACGAAAGAGAAGCCCTGTGCTCATATGCCAATTAAAACAATAGAGGAGAAATTTATGAATATGAAATTTAGAAGGTTTTACAGAGGCATTTCACATTCATAAAATCTTTCAGTTCTAGTTAATTATCCAAATTCCAGTCCAAATTTATCCTCAGCTGTTAAAGAAATTATTTCATAACTTTTCACTTTTCATTAATAGATGGCGCCAGTAGCTATGTGTTTTGTTTCTTAATGGAATCTTCTCGAGTTTTCTCGTCTGTTGTTTATATTCGTATGCCTCCTTCATCATTTTTACTCTCGAATGCTCTTTCATCGTTTCATCATCTCCTGCAGCTGAAGAAGGAGGTTTCGTGAAGAAGGTGAAAAAGAAGCAGTCGGTGATATAGTTACCACAATTACCATAGTGATAAGGCGTAAAAGTCATTAGCTTCGTTCATGTCTGTGGAACAGGGCTTAAGTCGTAGCCACTCAAGGAAGGGAAAGCTGCGCATGCGTGAATGTACAGCTAAACTCGAAGAAATCATAGACAGGATGTCAGTTCATTTTTGCTTCGCTGTGATCTGTCGGATATACCAGGTCAACATAAAGGTGAACATTTAAAACATTTTGACGAAATTCTTATGCTAATTTCCTTGATGTAATATTGTTTGATTTCCTAGCTACAGAGGTTCGGCTTATGCTGGTTCTGACCATAAAGGCCATCGTATGAACCCTCGCTTTCCATCCCGATATTCTTTAAGAGTAACTTCATTTCCTAGAAAAAAATTTTTTCGTTTCCTGGAAGGAAAATGAGTTTACAAATAGCTTCAACCAGATCTGAAAGTAAAGTTTTGGAATATTTTTTCTACTTTCGAACGAACACTCCTCTCCGAAAAAATAAAGGAGGGGAAGGTCTATTCTGAAATAAGAAAAAAGTTAAAATTTTTGTGTAATGTTATCGTATTTTCTACTTAAACTGCACATATAACATGCATCATGAAAGATAAAGCAATTATGAATGAATGTATTTGTTTGGAATGAGCAATTAATATGTTTTTCTGTTAAAATCGATTGTATTAGCGTATACTCTTTCATGTCATCTCACATTTTAATTTGTGCTGCAGCCAGTTAGTTTAATATTAATTTAACCTAATCTAATCTAGCTTTACCAATACAGTATGTATGAAATATTTCAAAGCTATACAGGAGCGATAAAAGAGCTTTTCTATGCAGAAGAGTGCGAAAACGGGTAAAATACACATTTAGAACAACGGCAAATAATTCCTTACTTATTTATTTGAGAGTAGATATTACACAATTACTGAAAATTTTTTCTTACTTCAAAATATAAAGCTTTCGAATGTATTAAAGTTCTTTATTGTTAGTTCAGCCTGAAATGTCTGATGCCTCTTCGGGAAATGAGGAAATGTGCAGAGATTGCTTTTATGTATATAAATACATAAAAGCTTATTATTTTTATCGCTTAGCGTTTACAATATTAAATTTTCGTAACAGAATTAGATATAATTAACTATTTAAAAAAAATTAAATTTATGTTCCTGCTATGTCATAAATTTAATTCCGATTGGAGAATTATCGGCCTAAATGCGCTTTCTGTTTAATCCAATTAGCTTAGTGTATCATGCAGGTGTCTGTAGAAATTTCTGAAAGGATGTCTTTTTTTCCCTGAGGTACTCACGTTCTGCTCCTCAACCTGCATATTTCAGAGCGTCTCGAAACCAAAAACAAATTAAACGGCTCGAATTGTGACGCATGCGCCTCGAATGGAGTGATGCTTCTGCTCTTTTTAAATATGAAGTGGCGAGATATTTCTGTTGATCAGTTTCTCCTTTTTATCTCTTCGCAGTATGTGATGAACATGCCGGAGGATGATCCCAGGAGGATGGACGAAATACGAAAATATGCCGCCATCTACGGAAGGTTTGACTGCAAGAGGAAGCCAGAAAAACCGCTTACTTTGCACGAGGTAAATACAATGTTTGTTTCGTTTTGTTTGTGAGTTCTTTTGTCAAACGTTTACTTTGTATGTTGCTGTCAAACAGCTTGCCTCCTGTATCTGTTCAGGCGGCCCGTGGCATTCTAAGGTGTGATTGCTTCACTAGCGTGTTTTAAAATGTAAACTTTTATGTAAGTTTTCTGTACGATAGGCTAGAGGTGAACTTTCTCTATGAATAGCTGTTAAAAGTTTTATGAAGATCTCTTGAAGCGTGAATCTCCCCGAATATTCTCAAACGACGAGCTGAATTAGTGCTTACATTCGGTGGATTTCTAAATCATTTTTTGTTTAAAAACGTCATTCGGAATAAACTTACTCAAACAGATTTAAATTAAAGCATGCTAAAGCAGTGATGAGAAATCTGTGGACTGCCGAAATCTTGTTTTTCATTAAGCTGAAAAGTAAAAATTTTTATGCAAGGCAAATGCATTATTAATATGAAACATATTATCATTTAAAGAAAAGTTGCTTGCCGCAATAGTTCTGTCAAGGCTGTCATTCACAGTTTCGGTTTAGCGCCGAAAAAGATGCACCTTGGCACCACGATTCAGCCAAGGTCCGTTTTAAAAAACACGTCAAAGATTATCCTCTTCTGGTACGCAGTCGCGCATGAGCAGACATGTATAAACTAATGCATTAACTATGTATAAAAATAGTTGCATTATTACTGAGTAAACTTACTGGTATGCTCTTTAAAACATAAGCAAACTAAGTTATACTATTAAGTAATTATATAGAAAGAAAGAAAACAATAACTGAAAAATATTTAATTAAAAATTATTAATGCGGAGCAAAATGTTGTCAAATTAATGTGAATGAAATGGGATTAATCTGATATAAGGTGGTTGGTTACCTGATATGACCAAAGTTTCTAAATCCATTTAGTGTCAAAGTTTTGCCAACAATTGAAAAATTTGACAAAGCAATGGCCAGGGCATAATTTCTTTTTGTGGCAAATTGTAAGATAGTACAAAAGACGTCGAGTTCTGATGTTGAAGAAGCAGTCTTAAAATCAAAGTCAATGTAAAATCAAAAGGCTTAAAAGTTCAAAGGTTAAATATTAAGTTTGGTAATACAGGAAACTTGAAAAACAAGCCTTGCCATCTAAAAGGAGTGCGCTTTATAATGCCGCATCCATTTGGTCTAACCGATTAGACTACACTAAAATTAATTGTAAGCATCTATGTATTCAGTAGGGGGACATATATAAATTATATTATAAATATCAAAATATATAAATTAAAAACAACAGTATAAAATAAATGGACTGATAAATACAGACAAGACTCAAAAAATCAGTAAAACGAAAGAAAAGTCTAGTGAAATAACTGCATGCAATTTAATCCTTCAACAACATGGTTTAACGATGTCAAATGAAATTTAAAAGCTACAAAGAGTAAGGTACAAGTTAGGTGGTGGCAGATGTGAAAACTGAATTGTATGTTGTTAATTTTAAACGGAAATTATGCGAAATGTGGTAAAGTTTTAGTGTAAGTTTATTAATCATAATAACCACGCCCCTTTTTTTTTTCTTTTTTTAAAGTTCCAAAACATTTTTTAAATGGTAAATTTAAAGTCAAAATGGAAAGAAAGAATGTAAAAGTAAGTTAACCAAAAAAAAAAAAATCATTTGTTGTGTGTACAGTAGGACTAGAATAATAACGGAGATAGCTGTGCATATTACATATGTATAATTGTCACACGTCCAGTAAATATCTTCATTTCAGGTTTAACTATTTCCTATTATCAGTAACAAAACCTAAGGTACAGTTTGTAAAGTAATTTTATTGATAATAAGCGTAATTTGAGCAGGTTAATTTCTTTATGAAAGTGTTCAATTTTAGAGCAAAATTTTTTTAATATTTGGTTAATTATTGTGTCGTCAGTTAGTATTTTTGGAAGTACTGGAGTTTCAGTGGACTAGTTTATTGGTTTTAAAATTCAGCAATCTCCTTTTGTGAGAAAGTTTACCTTTCAGAAATTTTACCTTTATTTTTTACCTATCAGAATATAATCAAAGTTATTGCTGTTTGTTTTAATTTTGTTAAACTTAAAACATTTTTAATAAATATTCTGTTAACACGAAGCTGTTAGCAGGTATAATATCGTTCCACCTGTAAGTAAAATAAAATTGATTTTTGATGTTGTTCACAGTTTTACATGAAACTGAATTCTTTTACTAAAAGTCAGAGATTATATATTGCATTAGAATAGTTTGTAATCGCAGGAATCCCATTTATTTGCGGCTTCTTTTCAATTTATAATTAGTCTGCATAACACTGTGACCTCGTTAACTTCGTGGTGGGAGCATTCCCTGTCCATGGCTTCAGAATTACAATTCTGAATAACACCATTTTAATAAATATGTGGTATAACATAATGAAATATAAAAACAGTGAATGCATTTATGGAGTGCATTCACCATTTTTATAGGTACAGAACTAACAGTGTTTTAAAGGGGAAAAAAAGAGTCAAGCATGCCTTGTTAATGCATTTAATTGTCAGTTATTGAGTTTATTGGAGCTATTATATTGTTTTCGCATTAGCCTTTCTCCAAAGCATAATAAAGCAGAGCATGTTAATGTCATGCACTGCAGTATGTTCCATAATTCTGCTGCGTAGTTTGTATTCTGTTGTGACTTGTTACGTTACAGTTGGTTCTGTAAATCGCTTTCAGACAACTGACTAATATATTGTTTCTTTTTATTATTATTATTATTAAATCATTCGAAAATTTCTATGTTGTGCAGCTCATTTTTACTTATGGATTGTGCTGTGTGTCATTGTACTTCTAATCTTCTGAACCATTTGGTAATTAAAATACTTCGTTACTTGTGATTTGCCTATTCTCCTTGTACTGTCAAAGTACCAGTAATTTTTCTATGGTTATATGTCGCTGTTAAGATTTGCTAATAGTTAAGATTTGCTTATTTAACTTTCCTTTAACACCTGCATTGGGACCTCGTGATTTCCCCGACAGGTACAGGTAAAAGTCTGGGAACACCAGCAATGTACCGTAAGTCAACTGGTAATGCTTCCACATACTAACTATCCCTTTAATAATAAAAAATGAAACTGTAAGCCGTGTGAGAGGTATGGAAATAAAAGGTTGAGTTCCACCCAGAAGGTGAGCATCTGAAGCTCTCCAAAGGATCCAGAGTTTACCTGTCATGGTACATCATGCAGTCCTACAGTACACCCCGCATCCAGTATTTATTAAAAAATAAAGATTTAGTACACAATGAGATAGCAATACAATTTGAGATTCACAAATTAAATTGAGGTTTGGATGTAACAAAAATAACAAGAGATAATAAGTACTGGTAACAAATATTATAATACACTATACTAATATACTCCACTGCCCACGGGGATAATAAGTGACCACGGGGTCAGATCATTTGTGAAGAACATGGAAAAATACTGAGTTAAAAATCTAGGAACTCATGGACTACAGAAAATAATTTCGCAAGAAACAAACACCATTTTTTTTTATGTTTTTAAAATGGTATATTGGAGTAGGTTATTACAGTTTATGAAGTTCATAAGCTCAATCCTTTTTAATATATTCACAGAATATAAAAGTTCATTAAATTTATGCATCATGAGGAGTTTGTACTTAACAAAGATCTAGGCCATACGAAGAGAGGTTGTTGCATAATTTTTTTTAACTTTTGAAACTTAGGATACTATTGTTCATATTTAATTAGATATAATGCTAAGATATCAGTTTGTGGAGATTTTATGTTATTATCTTCAGTCAAGGCTTGATTTCAGGACATGTCTCCATCCTCTAGCATATAAGTTGCCGCTATATAAATTATCTCATTGCCTAAGTACTACTAGCTGTTTTCAGCTCCCTCCTTTTTTTACGGTGCTCGAACTAAAGTTAAATTTGCCATCCTTAATTCAGAGTGTCTGCAGATGGAGATGACTGGTTTTTAAATGCTCGAATGTTTCTGAAATTTACTCATATAGCTTAAAAGCTGCAGAAGCGAACAAATTTTGATGCTATCAGGTGTTAACCCAAGGCCAGGTAATTCCTGAGGTACAAAAATAACTGCGAACTTGCGATAGTTTTGCTGTTAGTTTCATTGTTGAAGAATCTTTTTTTAAGCAGAAACTTTTGAAAAATCAATATCGCTGAGATTCATATGCTCACGTTTGCATCACAAGAGCACAAAAAAGGGCGATTTTAATTGCTTATATATGAAATGTGGTATGAAAAAAATGGTTTCTTTCGCAAGGAACAAGTACGCTATAAGTAACAGTGAAAGCAAAGAAGTGCCTGTAAATTAGCTTATTATCAATAAAAAGTATTTAAATGGATTTGACATATAACTAAGTCAGTTTGTTTTCTTATACTTGGTACTGATTTATCTTAAAACATGTCTTAATAACCAGAATGTAAATCTTTTTTTTTTTTTTTTTTTTTTTTTCCTTTGTGTAATCTGTTAGTCCTCTCAGATTTTCCAACTTTATTTAAAAGTAATATTTTTGCTCTTTTATCGTAGCTAAAACCCAAAATGGAAAGCAGGTGGATTAGAAAGATTTTGGAAACATTTAGATCGTCTTGACATACGTAGTTTGTTGCATGTGTAAACTGAGAATTCTAGATGCCTTTAAGTTGGCAAACTCCAAGCTAATTTTTTTTTTTTTTTTTTGTTTTAAGTATGTGTGATTCCTTAGACTTACTCTATTTCTATTGTCGAGTTCAGTAAGTGAGCTTATATGGCAAAGAACTCGAGAGCTATCTGGCTTAAGGGAAGTGGCCTTCGTAGGTTACTTAGAAAGTGGTTCCTCCTGGGCAGATAGCCCTCGAGTGTTCTGCCATAATCAAATAAATCAAACCTATATAAGTGAGGAATTATCGTAATTTACTTTTTAAATATTAAATGTACTATAGGATATTTTTAGGGAAAAAAATTATTTTCCTACCAATACCGTATTCAGAGGCTGGAAATAAATTTAAATAATTAAAAGAAGAAATTAATTTTTTATAGCATACGACACTTTTTGATATAAATTAAAATCATAATACTAAAATAGCTTGGCAAACTTCTTCCCTCCCGTGTTTGTAGTGTAATTTTGTGCTAGTTATTTTAAATGAACTATGCGAATTTGTAAAACGTTAATGTCTCTTTTCACAGTTCCATAATTTACAAATTGTGTGTAAAGGCTCGCAATTCTGTCCTATCCAAATGCAACAATATGTATTACGCCAATTTTTTTTTTTTTTTTTTTTTTTTTTTTTTTTTTTTTTTTTTTTATAATTTTCAAGTTTTGGGCTACCTTTTTCAAGGTTATATATGTGTTTCAACTTTTCTTTTCAGGTATCCGTAAACGAAGCAGCTGCTCAAATATGCAAGCACATCCCAGCGCTCTTGACGAGGAGGGATGAGCTTTTTCCTTTAGCTAGGCAGGTAGTCCGTGACAGTGGCTACCAGTACTCCAAAGGGCATTCAAGGTGAGAGGATCGTGTTATCTGTATTTTATAGTGTGCACGGTTGTTTGTTTTCTTACTTCTTTTGTGATTTCAAGAACGGAGGCCTATTTACATATGAAATCGTGACTACTATGTTTTTATGGCCGTTGTGGTCGTTCGTTCAACCTAGTGTTTGCATTTTTTGAGCTCCTGATAATGAACCACCCAATCGGGATCGGGCTGAATTTCCCGTTACTTTGGAATATATAACATTTTGCTGTAGATCTGTATAATATATATTTTAGCAGTATCACGCGTTTGTTTGTGTTGATGCCGTCTTATTTTTTTCCACGAATCTTTCTCTGCTGTGATGAGATGCATAAACAAATGATTGAAATTTGAAGGGGGGGTCCAACGCCTTTTCTACATGTGTCCATTATCATGGACCTAGTACGCAGTTGTATTTTGCGCAGCGGTGAGAAAGCAGATATACAGCGTAAATATACTAAAATTACAGTAAGTTAATGATATTTTAAAGCCGTAAAACAGAATATTATTTATATGAGTACTTTACCCCTTGAACGAAGAGCATTCAGGCAGAGACATTATTCGAGTAATCCAGACGACATTCTTAGTGTTTGTTAATTAAGGCATTTTTATTATTGCCATTTTAAACGAAATAAGACAGACAAATGGGAGTTTGAGAAACGTATCAATCTGACTGTGGTAGCGTAAGAATGTTCGTGACAGGACACTGAACGATAAGAGTACTTTCTTGCAGAAAGTTGAACATAAAGTAGCTTGTTTGCGTTTTAATTAAATTCCCTAAGGGGGTCGATTAAATATTTTTGTCTGTATTCAGTTCGAGGAGAAAATATCGAAAAACTGTATTTGGAATGCAGTTTCGTATTACGAGCCTGCATTATTAAAAAATAAAGTGTATGTTAAATGTATCTTTTTTGTTTTTTGCGGGAGGGGGATAGAAATGTACTCTTTTTTTACTTCAATAGTACAGATGTTTCCGGCATTGTATAAAACACCACCGTTCTATAGAATACTCAGGAATTTTATGGAATGCCTGGCGATTTTAAGCGAAATATGAAATATGAGAATCAGTATATACTTTCCCTAGCCATTTTATATATAATACCTAGGCATCCTATAGAAGAACAAATGCTGTTTGAGCGAAATATGAAAAAATATCATGATGTATCATTTAAAAAATGTGCACTCCTTAAAAAATGCAAATGTTATTTTAAATAAATAATGAAAAGATTGCCATTAAAAAATATTTATTCAAAACACGTAAAAAAATAAAGTTGTACAAATCAAAATTTATTAAGATTCTTATTAAAGATAATAATGCATGAAAATTAATGAAGGGTATGGAGTTACGGAGTGAGTATATTTGAAACGAATCAGAAATGTATTTCATACTTTGACGGTTTGTCATTTGGCATTCTATAGATTGTTTAGGAATCCTCCCCCCTGTGGCGAGCGCTAACCGTCTCTAGGCAATGGCCATTATTAAACCATTGTATAAGGCCGGGAGCGGTGGTCTGTTTATTATGGAGGCACCTAATAGGTGAGCCGCCGTTGCCTCCTATGAAGGGACGGACAAATTACATACATGCCTTCTCTGGGATTCGAACCCAGACCCTTCAGTACGGCGGCAAAATCATTAACCACTCTCCTGTCTGGGCGGCTGTTAGGAAATGTACGAAATGTCAATCGTTTCACATATTTCCGGCCAGTTTTCGGCATTCTATACAATGCCTAGATATTCTATGGCATGCCGACGTCTCATACATTGCCGGAACATAAATTTTGCACGCAGATTTATGCTTTAAATGTTTTGTTACATGATACTCAAATCTTGTCGTATAAAAGCGGAAAGGACCACGTAGTTTATGACGTGTTTCTAACGTATTGCGGAATTACAAGTCAATTTCTTTCAGGCCGTCTTTCAAGAAGCATCTTTTTCTAATCCCTTGTCTGCTTTGCAAAATTAAGAACCTCTTATTAACTTATTAACGTATAATTCCAAAATTATTTGCTTTTATCACTCATCTAATAATAATAGGATGTTTTTTGAAAATTTCGTTCGATACGGTATTAAAATGTTTGAATTATTGAGATAAAAGAAAGATCATAATGATTAAATAGATATTATATGAAATCATTTAAAAAAATCTTAAAACTTGGATGTTAATTAATACGTATTGCTATTTGAATTCTTGTTTTGCATTATTTTTAACTAACTTTAAAAAAAAAAATTTAAAAAAAAAACTGAAAAAAGAATTGGTGTGTTTATTTATAAAACTCTTAATTACTAACTTAAGGAAATTATTATACTGTGTGTATATACATAATTTGAAAAAAGATTACGTGCAAAACATTTCATAGGCATGTTAATTTTTATTCTAGTAATATGCAGTTTTTATAATTGCATTATAAATTCTAAATTTCTTTTAATTTTTCAGATATTAAAAATAAACGAAAAAGTAGATTATGATACCAAATACTTCGTTTAACTAAGAAAATGTATAATTAAACTGATGATCCTTTGAGAAAATTAACTCTCCTCTTATTCAAATAACTGAAATTGCTCTAAATTTCCTAAGAAACGTGTATCAATTCTTTAAAGTAGGCATAAACTTATATTTTAATTACAGAGAAAGGAAATTTTCCAACAATATTCCTCCTTTTCAAATCATCTTTTTGCCTGCAAATGAAACTGCTAAGTCTCGCATGACTCCCCTTTGCTAGAATACCCCCTAGAACTCCCATATTTAACTTTTTTATAAAAGAATACATCGAAGATGACCATCTAAAATAAACTTCGATCCCACTTTTAGGCAGCCCTCGTGTGGTTTGACACATTCAATTAAATAGACTCTTTTCCGTCAACTTAAATTTAGATTGCCCTCACGGCTTTGAGCCCAAAGCTCCAAGTTTCAAAAAGTATATTAATTCTCTACAAATTAATTCTCTACAAATGACATTTGCTGTGTTTTATAAAAATACTAAGGTTCATTAAAACACTTTCCACGTAATTCCTTCCTCGTGTATGACTTAAAATTTGTTTTTAATACCTTATATGTAAAAAAAAGTAATTTGAATTTCTAGGGGAAAAAAGGACGAGTCCGACTCCAAAACTCTGAAAATAGTTTCAAACTTAAAACTGAACTTATAAGTTGGTGCAGTGAGTCTATAGCTGCACGGCCGATAGTGAAATTCTGGTGTTCTGCTCGCTTGTACCTCTGCATCTTCGTGTGGGATAGGATAGTTAATCCTTAAAACCAGAAGCTGCCGATAATAAAAATAAAAGCTTTTAAATTATTTTATGCACACCATGAAAGCGTACTATCTCTTAAGTCTGAGTGTCTACGAAATACACAGCAATTAGCAAGCATACGCTCAATAGGCTAAATGAATCCATTCTCTGAAAAGTTCATTTCAAAGGAGGTCATTTTAAAAACTGCGGAACTACAGTTTATCAGCGCAGGCGATGCGCAGTAAACAAGATTTCAAAGGAGATGCTACCAGATGCAGTTGCAGGTTCAGAAATTTTCTTTTCATTGGGCATGGTTAACAGCTGCTATACCTTTCTTACCTTTTAACCTAAATCCTATTCTTTGCTTAGTAATGATGTCCCTTTACAATTGGCATTATTTGCGAAACCAGAGGATTTATTGGTTGCCACTTCCATGCTTTGATGTATTTTCAAAGTTTTTCGGATAAATATTAAGCAAATAAAAAATTAAGAATTCCGTGTTAAGTGATTTGCAAAGTACGATGCCATAGAGCAGACCGAGCTCTGAGTGCCATGCAGAGCCATAAGCTGCCGAACAGTAAAATCCGCCAACCTCAAGTAGTTGGGCCCCGGTTCAATTCTGGCTGTATGGGAGTGATATCGGTTTTCCATGTATAAATGTGAATACGAGCAAGCTTTCCGTAAAAAGATATCCACGAAGGCATCATTTCCTCTAAGCAGATATCCTTCGTGTGCTTAAGGGTTAGATTTAATTTTATTAAAGCAAAGTGACTCGAGGGCTATTTGCTTATGGGGGGGGGGCTTTTCAAAGGAAACTGGCTCGTATACACATTAAACATGGAGAAAACCAAGGAAACTAATCATGGTGCCACCCCTTTCGCAAGGATTCGATCCCAGGTCGAAATACCAGTCTTCAGCAACGCTACCGCTTAGTCGCTGGTGGGCACTTAAAAGACGGTATTTTACTTCGCATAAACTGGTTATTGTAAGTTGCAATCATTTTGCGTTTCTGCCAGTGTTTTGAGCAGTTTGCTTATTGTACTATAAATTTTTGTCTTGACTTATTGAATTTTCAAAGTCATAAGATGACAAGTCCCTTCCTCATCAAATACACGCATTTTTACTTCAGACCTTTATTTATTTTTTATTTTTCTTTTATTATTTATTTTTTTTTTTTTTTTTTATTTTTATTTTTTTATTTTTTTATTTATTTTTTTTTTTTTTTTCCATCTTAGAATTCTTAATGAAAATTCCCCGAATGACATGCAGGAAAGTTTGAATTCATTCGGGAACGTCTTTTCTTATAGATCTCAGTGTTACTCGAAAAATTTCGATGAAGACTCTTGCAAGAGGTTAAGGTTTGATGGAAGTCCTGGGGCCATACCAGACCCAAATCAAATGGAAGAAGAGAGGAAGAGAAGGCAGGCAAGTGTATTTTTACTCAACAAGTCTATAAATCTTCATCATCTCTTTCTTTGCTCTTACCTAGTCATTTAAGCATACTACAGTATTTCAGATTTCTTCAAAATGGGCTAAAGCTTACAGTCTGTTATTCCCAGTTATATAAAACGCACCCTTTATGTTCAAAACGTTTTTAAACTTTTTTACTGTATCTAAGTTTGGTTGTTTCAGATTTTCATTCCAGATGAATGTGTAACAGAAATAGACACAGGCAGTTTTTTGTTATTTTGAACCATTTCATTTTCATTTAAATTATCTGCTTCGTAGTCCGAGAGGTAGCGTTAGATGTATAAAACAAAATGTTGTTTTTAACTTCGGATTCATTGCTTGTTGCTGACATCGATAAAGACCTCTTTTACTTCAGTTTAGCTAAATTTGGCTTATACTGCTGTATCAACGACTTTGAATTTCTTTTAGAACGAAATTCTTTGAATTCATTTCATCTAGAGATCTTAACACACAATTATGTACACTTTATTTACATAAATAACACAGTGTTTAACAATAAAAACTGCTAAGCATACACATTGGAATTATTAGAATTAATATCTTCATTACTGCATCAAAACATATTCAGAAATCAAGTTGAGAGAAAGCAAAAGATAGTCCAGAATCAAGTTGCAAAAAGCGCCATCTGATGGCTTACAACGTAAATTCGTAATAAAACACTAAAGTCCTTAATAGGAAACAAAATTAATTCTCTACAAATATGTGGATTTTTGGTCTTGAGCTGTGAGATAGTGAATTATTGATTAACCAGTTATCATCTCTCAAGTTCCGTCTGTTTGTATTTTATTTAGTTTCCAGCGATAATGAAGACGAACGAATTCCAGTGAATTTTCTTACGAATAAAAAAAAATTATAATTTCCTTCTCAAATGATTTGGCATTGCAACTATTCCATTCACAAATTTATCTTATTTTGAACGATTCAAGTGTGATCTACTTTGCAAAAATCCTTTTATCCCTATTGCTGTTTTTTATAGGACAGGCTCGAAGCTGTAACGGAGCAGATAAAGTTATTGGCTGGCCAACAACATGATCTGAAAACAGGCCTTCAGCAGTCGAGGGACACTCATAACGTGGCTGCCGTCGGCCAGATCCAAAACCAGCTTGACCATCTTGCCGCCCAGCACTATCAATTAGTAAATGAACAAAGTGAACTCAGCAGGCAGTTGAGGAGGTTAGACAGGTATGGCTGTGAGTTTTGTACATATATTTTTGTTTTCATTTATGACGCATAGCAATTGATCATTTAAGATGCTGTCGCTTCCTGAGTGTTTGGCAGGTAAGTAGGTTCGCCTTTTTTTTTCCCCCTCCCCTCGGTCAAAGGTACGATTATTTCCAAGGTCGCCTCTAGCCGGAGAAAGGTAAAAATATTTAATTTCGTTTTAATTTGCGTTTATTGTTAAACTTCTATGTGTTTTGTCTTTTAATCACCCTTTTAGCCCCTCTATTTAACCTTGATCATGTCATTTCCCAGTAAATATAGAATTTTGTATGTATCATGCTATATTTTATATATCATAAATTGAAATGAATGTAAAATGCGTTTTAAGATTATTGTGCATTATTTGTTATTTTCAATAAAGATATAATTTTATACTCTGCATCCATGAAAGTTTCACACGAGAATAGTCATTTTTCATTATTCTATCTTTTCTAATCTAAAATCTGCATGGTTTTTCTGCATGCAGGTTTTTTTTTTTTTCCCGTACGCATGAATTTTGTTTGTGATTTTCTTTTTCGTTTCAGCGTGTTCGAAGATTGCATTGGAAGTATCAAAGAAAAATCAAGAAATTCGTTTTGTCATTTTGGTTTCCGTTTTTATGATATCTTATTTTTATTACTAAATGATGAATAACTGTAGTAGAAGTAAACTTTTATTGTAAGCATAATTGTTTATGAAATTTCAGGCCGTTTTAGAATTAATATGTGCTTCAACGTTGCTGATTTAAATAACCTTTTTGTCACTCAGATATACTGCCACATGTTGTACTATACAGAACTTAAAGAGGGATTTTTTTTTTTTTTTTTTTTTTTTTTTTCAAAAGGTAAAAGGAAGGCAGGAAGAAAATTATTTGAAATTATAAAAATATGGTGTAGTTATATTTTAATTTTTATTTCTTGTTTGTTAATTTTAAAAAATTGCGAAAATAGTACAAGCAGATTTCATGCATCATTTTAAATTTTAATCCCTCCCCCGAATGGCGAATTTTGCGGTGAAAAAAATTCGTCGTCCTAACTTCCGTTTTCAAATCCCTTAGAAGAGATCGCCTTTAATGGCTTTATTCAGTATTCTGTCCCCCAATAGATATTTTTTAAAAAAATTGGAGTTTCTAACATCTTCTCGTAGAAGATTCCTAATTTTCATGTGAAAAAAGGAATGAAACTAGAAACAATTCGTGTGGAATCTGTAACTAAATGTGTATGTTCCAAATACGTGGAAGCATTAATATCTTTCTGTAGCTGCTGCTAAAACTTATTCTAATTTATGTGAAGGGGAAAAATCTATCCTTACAAACTATTTTGGATTTAATTTCAGAATTAAGTTTTCTGTCGTTTTAAAGGATAACCTGATTTTTCTTTTTCAGTATCAAGGAGGTTGGAACTTCCCTAGAAGTTCGCCTAGCCTCTTTTATTGAAATTAAGATCGAAACAAAGTTCATTTTTATCTTTATTAAATATCCCCTTAAGGTTTTACCACTGAACTTTCAACAGTATATATTTATCATACACGCGCTTTAGCAGGTGTTGCCATTGTGCGAATCAAAATCTTCAATTTTTGTTTTCCACGTGGTTTCGCACGTATCTGATTCTAAATTCTTCCTGAAGAATTATTATAGTGTAAAGATCTTGAACTTTGCCGAACAGGAGAACCTTTTAGCAAAGTTTAAGATCATTAAGCTAGCTTTGAAATTTAGTTAGACTATAAATGCTTAACAGACTGAGTTATTTAAATGCAATAAAAGCATTTCTTAGTAATTTAAAATACCATTCTACATTTTTAATATTACAGCTGAGTGCTATAATTAAAAATACATTTAATTAGTATTATATCCAACGGATATTTGTAGCTTTAGTTTAACTTAATAAGAAATATTTCTGACATTGCATATCTCTGTACAGGATGGTTTTGTTTGTAAATATTTAATTGTATGCATTTGAAAAGCAGAATACTTAAAATAAATATATGTTTTGCATCTTCAGAGCACGCTATAAACGAAAGCCATGGCGCTTCCCCCCCCCCGTTTTTTATGGGGCTCTTCTTTCATTTTTATACCGTGTTTAATCTGTATTGATAATCTGCAGTGTGCGGTGTGAACTGAAAGTCTTCCTGTCTTCGATCTTCTGGATGCGCTGTAACAAAATGCGTGCTTTGTAATGTTACAGGTAAAGGGGCAATTCCCTTAAAATCTTACCCCGTGTTCCCTCTGCATCCTATACCCCTATTTTTACCCTTTACGGTGCCTCTACCTGTTCCGGGTCTTAGAACTATTACCCTCTACGACTTTCAGGGGGCACTGACATTGAAGTTCACAGGTTATCTAACCCTTTTCCCTTACACATGGGGGTAAATAATCCCTGCGAGGGAAATGAACCCTCATTGCTTTAGAGGATGGCGTTCAGTAGAGGTTCTTCGTACTTTGCACCTCAAGAATAGAATATTGTCCATTTAAAATTTATTCATCCTGCCTGCTCACCTTTAAATTGTCCCTTAAGTTCAAAGAGGCTGGTGCAAGGTGGCGTAAAAGGAGCATAAAATTGTGGTGTGAGTGGCTTTGTTAGGATTGTTACGTCATCAAAATGTACTATCATTTGTTGCACTGTTTTAGTGGCGTGTTATGTCTTATAAATATTGATGTAATAATGTAAAACAGAGAATCTGTTAGTAAACGACAACTTTCTGAGACGATTTTTTAGTGCTTTTTAAAATTGCTTTAGACCTATTCATTATAGTAAACGGTTTTATTTCAGTCTCTCAGAGAGATATTTAAGTAGGCTTTTAAAAAAAACTCTTAGAATGATGCTATATATTAAGCTCAGTAAATTTATGTATTGAGTGATCGCAGATATTCAGCACGCTTATGCCATAAAATTTAGCAACGTTATTAGCATCAAGTACCCAAAGCATTTTAATTTCACCTCATACCGATCAGCGATTGACAGGATTTTTAGACTAGCTGAAATCACTTTCTGCTGTTAAATTTGTCTATTTTGTGATACATAAAGAAGCTGTTTGTTTTACTTTATTATTTGGTTATCTAACCTCTATTACAGAATTTACGCAAAGATTAAAAAATTCTGAATAGCATAGCTTTGTGAATGTTTAAATATTTAACTTTTCGGGTTTTCAGTCACTGAGTCTGAAGAAAGTATACTTTTAAAGAGCCATTTTATCATAGTTATGGGAGCAGAGTAAAGTATATAGAAGCTGAATGATAAATTAATTAGTATGTATGGTTTTAAAAGCTTTCGAGTCTTCATTCTTGTGTAGTTTTCTCAATCGTTCTTAAAAAAAATGAAAAGATAAAGATGAAAAAATGCTTATTGACAAAGTGTTAATTCTTTCAGTGTGATTATTTGTAAGATTCTCCGTTTGTACTCTCCGATTCTCTTGAACCTTAGTACTACCTATGTGCATGGTACCTTCGTACTGTTGAGCTGTTGTGCTCAAGAAGAACGGTCACTGGTGGAAATAATCTTTGACGCTTGAATTCGTCTTTTCTAGGCAAGTATTTTGCAAAATGCAATGCATAAAATAGGGTCCCTTCTTTTTTGTCCGGCGGAGTTGTTTGTACGAAGCGCCTGTTGATGATGACGATATATTTGCGCAATGGAATGTTTCCGTATTATTTAGTGACGTCAGTTCTCACGCCTGGGACGCGGCGCTTCTTTTAAGAGTTTCTTCTAGTAAATAAAGCTTCAGCTCATGATAGGTTAGGTGCTTATCGTTCTATGCAAAGAATAATTTGTGCCCTCCCTTTCGCAACTTCTAAGTTCTGGGGCGAAAAACAAGACACGAAAAAATATCGTTATAAATTTTAAAATAAGGGGTGGCTTTTATTCTTTAAAAAGAAACTTTGTTTTGGGCGGTGGTCCTAAAGGGTTTTGGGAGGGAAGAAATGTAATATCCTAAGGGCGAACTCAACGCCATTGGAGGACTAGTCATTAAAATCCGATGTTTTACACCAAGCTGTAAAAAAAAAAAAAAAAAAGTCCAGCACACCGAGCGCTTTTCATGTATGCGCTGGGCGGGGTCTCATTAAAACCGGAGATATTTTCAGCCATCGCATAATTAATGCAAAGTATTTCATCGAAAAGAGCCAACCAGGAGCCGAGGCAAAAAATTGCTTCTCCGGGAAGAGGGGAGGAAAAAATTCCCTGCTCTGATGTAATGGCGTCAGTGGCTGTCAGGAAATTCCTTCCCCTCCATTCCCCCCTCCTTGCGTACTCTCCACCTTTTATCATTGCAAAGTATTGATTATTTAAATAAGCTCTTGTTCCGCAGTTAGATGTTAAAAAAATGCAGAAGTGTATGCTTAGAGGAAAAAAAGTAAATCGGACATTATCGGGCTTGGAAGTTCTGGAGCTGGCCGTACGTCGATATGTGTGCCTAATGTCTGGTATAATTATATGCTTTGTAGATACATAATGTCACGATACGACCACATTGTATTGATTGAACGGAACAAAAAGAAAAGTAACTTGAGTCAAGCCCTTTTTTTCCCCTCCTGTTCTTGTGTATTGTGTGGCCGGTTTCTCGCAATTGAAAATTTATATAAAATTTTCTTTCAGATCTCTTCACGTGGTATAAAAGGAAAAAATACCACACACGCGCACGAAGATTTTAGGGACACAAGGAACCTCAGGTGGTGGAATTCAACTACATTTCACTTTGATATCGTTAAATTATCACAATGAGATATCGTTAAATATTAATTTTATTCTCATCCCCTTTTAGTTGTGGCATAATTTTGCCTAACAGCACCTTTTCCTTTCTTACGTCCATTTTCCTTTCAAGTTACTATCTGAGCTATTTATTTTCTGTAGAGTCGGTGAGCTTTTCCCGAAGTGTGTCCTGAGTTTGCACTTTGCTGTCTTTCGTCCCATTCCGTTGTCTTGTGACTTACCTTTGACATTCTCAAATGATCAGGGCGTTGTAGGCATAGAAATAAACACGTTTATTGA